ATAAATACTCTAAAATCCACATTCATCCCTACCGTGCGCCGACGCCTTTTAAAGGATGGTAATGAAAATAAAGTTTATTACATTGGTTAGAATATTCCCCTCAGGTCGGGTTCGATCAATAACTTTTTTATCTCTTTTGTTACTATTCAACTGGATTAAGTCTAAGTTTTGTCATATGTTGCATGCTGGTGAGCTGTGGATGACGTTATATATATATAATTAGATAGATCAGCGTGAGAACATATACGGTAGTAATTATTAATACTTGTCTAGCTTTTTTGCAATGTTGGATTTTCCTTCGATGGTCAGCGTCAACAACCTTCGTGCCAGCCCATCAACTTTGTATTTAACTCCTTGACAAAATCCAGAGACGAATATATCGGTCCTATTCTTTTTTATGTAACAAACAGTGTGTGTGTGTGTGTGTGTGTGTGTGTGTGTGTGTGTGTGTGTGTGTGTGTGTGTGTATCCTTTCCTCAAATAATCGTCTTTACTCTTGTCCTCAATCTTCTGTAACCCCTTGCGTGCTAGTAGCCCACCTGCCTTGCTTGGGGTGAATTGCCAAAAAAAAAAAAAAATAATACAAAAAGCCCTTGAAATGATAATCATCGAAAGAGCTTATTTACATTATTTACATTGCTCGGACTGTTGTCCTGACCTTTTTTGTCATGTTGTTTCGCTCGTTATACGCCCCGGACTTCTTCAGGTGATAATTGTTTGAATTTCGAACCTACCCAAAACTGTCAATCTGCATCTTGGTGTTTTTATAATATAACATGCTTCAGGAAGAGAGAATATGGCGATTGGCGTGTGAATTTGATTGACGATTGAAGAACCAAGGTGACTGGAAAACAAGAAACCGGAAGAATGTCCCGAAGGCGAGATTTGACAGAAAAAGAAATTTTTGATTAGAACTTTGACAGAAAAAGAAATTTTGATTAGAACTTCCGTTATATATATATATGTGTGTGTGTGTTTGTGTGTTGTGTTTATCTATACATATATGGATTGTTGTGTGTGTTGTGTGTTTATTTATACATACTGGATTGTTGTATGTGTATCGTTTGAATATATATATATATATATATATATATATATATATATATATATAATATATGTTGTAAGAAATATGTTGTAGTGGTTCCAACGATAGAAAAGTATGTATATTAAAAAGAAGAGAAGAGAGGTTCTGCAAACTTTTTTGGGTTGTAATGTGGATTTTTTAAAATATTATATATATATATATATATATATATATATATATATATATATATATATATATATATAATATAAAATAAAATAAAATAAAAAGCACGGTTGTGTAATAGATAGAGACTTGGATTGAGGAATCGATATTTAGTCGTACAATAGTACAAAATGTGGCACAAGGCCCAAAAGAGGGTTGGGGAAGGACGGTCTTCTTCTGTCTTAATTCTAAACTTAGCTAGTCACAAATACGGACCCAAACATACCAACAATAGTCCTATCACCAAAACGACACATTCACTCCTATCTTTCTTACTACGTCCACCATAATACGTCAAATTCTCTATGAAATCTTAACTAGCCCCGATATGTACATTTCAAAGTCTGTGGGGGGAGGGGAAAAACAACAATTTAAAAAAAAGCCCAATGATTGGATTGAGGAATCGGGGAGCCGAGTTCGAATTCCAGTCGAATCCATTACATTCACTTACGTGCTAATATCCTTGGGAAAGGTATCCTCTTCTTCTCCCTCCAGCTATGGGTAAATAGCAGGACAGACTGGGTTCTATCGCCTTGGATAGCAACTGGTCTAGGAGAAAAACAACTCTGAATTCAAAACCTACGGAGGGTCATTTGGGGACCTTGTGGCATGTAGTGCTTTTTTGTAAAAACCTTTCATAATTTTTTTTTATTCAGTCAGTTTTAAATGGTTTACCTTATTTCTTAAAATACAGTGTCTTTACTGCTCTGAGGTGATCTTTTATCATTTAAAATTGTTTTGACTAATGGAAAATTTTCGTGTCAGAGATTTGGCCGGTTTTGGCACGCACTCTCAAAAAGGTCGCCCACCCCTGCTCTTGACACAGGACTACTTATCATGAATGGATCAGTCTATTCATGATAGTAATGAGGGGATATGTCTCTTGCCACAACAGGTAACAAGCCACTCCCAAACAAAATATGGTTATAATTTTTTTTTTTTTTTCAAATTCAAAGTAACTTCTTATCTTGAATTTCTCGATTTAAAAGAAATTTATTAAGAGCTACAAAGAACAGGTAACTGTGGAGAACCATGACTGCCTACGCCCTGAAGGAATATGGTGCATAAAAGAAGAAAAATGGAAAAAGAATATTTTGAATGGAATGCACACAAGGAGAGGAAGAAATGTCATTTAGAAATCTGACAGGACTTGCAAATAAGCCACATATTTTTGGTACCAGGGGAAGAGCGGACATTTTACAGAATCGTAATGAGCAACCCGCACATTACCAAAGGCCGAATCGCATAAAATAGGAAATTAAGTTATTATTAAGTGAGATGGAGATAGAGTATATACACAGAATGATAGGAAGAAATAAAAAACTAACGAAATGCTTAAAGAAAGAAAGAAAGAAAGAAAGAAAGAAAGAAAGAAAGAAAGAAAGAAAGAAAGAAATGGAAAGAAAAATAAGAGGGACGAGAAAAATAAAGTAAGACAATAACAAACAAAGAAAAGGGCAGGATATTAAGAAAGAAAGAAAGAAAGAAAGAAAGAAAGAAAGAAAGAAAGAAAGAAAGAAAGAAAAAAGAAAGAAAGAACGCCTCGAGTAGGAGAGAATGATATTAAAGCCTGGAAATAGACCGAAAGAAATGCTTGAATAAAGAAAGAGAGAAAGAAATGCTTTAAAAATGAAATAAATAAGAAAAGAACGAAAGTAGGAAATAGAAAAAGAAGTTAAAAGCTGTAGATAGATAGAAAGAAAGACTTGAATGGCCTAAGACAGAAAGGAGAAAGAAAGCAAGAAAGAGAGAAGGAAAGAAAGAAAGAAATTTAGAGAGACGGAAAAACGAAAGAACGAAAGAAAAAATAACTTAAGACCTGCAGATAGACAGAAAGACGTGAAAGGCTTAGACAGACAAACTGAAGAAAGAAAGAAAGAAAGAAAGAAAGAAAGAAAGAAAGAAAGAAAGAAAGAAAGAAAGAAAGAAAGAAAAAAAGAAAGAAATTAAAGCTTGGAAACAGACAGAAAGATACATGGGAAAACCCTGAGTCAGACAGACAGACAGACAGAAATAATAAATGAAATGAGTGAGAAAAAAGAAAGAAAGAAAGAAAGAAAGAAAGAAAAAAAGAAAGAAAGAAAGAAGTTAAAGCCTGGAAACAGACAGAAAGATACATGCGAAAACTCTGAATCAGACAGACAGACAGAAAGACAGAAATAATAAAGGAAATGACTGAAGAAAGAAAGAAAGAAAGAACGAAAAAGAAAGAAAGAAAGAAAGAAAAAGAAAGAAAATCCTTAAGAAAAAAAGAAGGAACAAAGAAAGAAAGAAAGAAAGAAAGAAAGAAAAAGAAAGAAAATCTTTAAGAAAAAAAAGAAGGAACAAAAGAAAGAAAGAAAGAAAGAAAGAAAGAAAATCCTTAAGAAAAAAAAGAAGGAACAAAAGAAAGAAAGAAAGAAAGAAAGAAAGAAAGAAAAAGAAAGAAAATCCTTAAGAAAAAAAGAAAGGAAGAAAGAACATTTTAAAGACTAACAAAAGAGCTGATAATCGATGTAAATAGTAAAAGCAGTCGAAACTGAAAACAAACACTGAGATTAAACAATGTTCTTTTAGCAAAGAAGAAGAAAATAAATGCTTCCAAGATTAAAAGGGGGAATTAGGAATCAGTGTGAAATAGAACAATAACGAAAAAAAGCCCACTGTGAAATGGAGAACCATTTAGAAAAAATATATATAAATGGAAAAGTAAAAAATAAATGTTATTTTAATAATAGAGGATTAATGAAAATCTATTGCAAATAGAAAAAAAGGAATAAAAAAGAAAGAACACAAAAAGATGAAAAATTGTTTAGAAAGAAAGAAAGAAACAAACAAAGGAAAGAAAAGAAAGAAAAAACGAAAGAAAAGAAAAGAAAGAAAGAAAAACTAAAGAAAGAAAGAAAAAACTAAAGAAAGAAAGAAAAAACGAAAGAAAGAAAAATGAAATAAAGTCATTGTTGTGTAACAAAAAATGGAATTAATTTGCAAAAAGGTTGAAATGAGGTCAAGAAAATAAAAAAAAATGGCTGATTTAAATGAGAAACGTCTTCATTATCGGCGTCCGTATAAAATGAATATAAAAGCTGATTCTTCTTGATTAAAAAAAAAAGATATGTATTAATAATTAATACAAAAATTAATCTATATTAATTCAAAGCGGGGAGAGATCTGAATGAGGGAAGAGCGATTGATTACCGTAAAGCGAATGACGTCAACGCGCCTAGGACACTTCGAATGACGTCATTGGCTCACTCACCGGTCATCGTTTTTCATCTCTTTTCAGGCCTCAGTTGCAATTTAAGCCCATAACATGATATCGTCATGAAGCTGACTAGTGACGACAATGGCCACCTTTGCGTCAGCGATATTTGTGGCCAAATTTCTAGTTTCATATTGGAGACGAATATGTGGTGAGGATTTGCAACGCCGATAACAATGCACAATCTTTGTGTTGGCGATGCTTTTTCTGAAATGACTCTTTCCAAGGATTTCGCTAGCACCATAATTCAATCTTCTCTGTCGGCGTCCACAGCTTATCCGAGATTTTGTCGTGTCTTAAATTCTTTCGGGCGACAATACTGTGATGTTATCATAATATTGCTGCTCAAATACATAAGATGATTCGCAATCTATATAAGCACATTTAAGAGTCTAAATATGATAGATAGGCACAGAGGCTGATTAGAGGACGTCTGTGAGGATAAAATCACCACACTAAGCATCTGGTAGACTGACTGCCAATTGCTATAGTTCAGAATCTATAAATGATTGATTAATTGCATAGATAGATAGATAGATAGATAGATAGATAGATAGATAGATAGATAGATAGATAGATAGATAGATAGATAGAATGAAATATATAAAGAAATAGACCAAAACAGATAACAAATAGCAAGAGAGACAGACAGGTATGAACATACTGAGACAGATAGATAGATAGATAGATAGATAGATAGATAGATAGATAGATAGATAGATAGATAGATAGATAGATAGAAAGAAAGAAAGAAAGAAAGAAATAGTCCAAAACAAATATGAATAAATAGAGAAAGACAGATATGAACATATTGAGATAGATAGATAGATAGATAGATAGATAGATAGATAGATAGATAGATAGAAAGAAAGAAAGAAAGAAATAGACCAAAACAAATATGAAAGAAAACAGATATGAACATATTGAGATAGATAGATAGATAGACAGATAGACAGATAGATAGATAGATAGAAAGAAAGAAAGTAATAGACCAAAACAAATATGAATGCAGGCAGACAGATATGAACATATTGAGATAGATAAATAGATAGAAAGAAAGAAAGAAAGAAAGAAAGAAAGAAAGAAAAAATATGAATAAATAGAGACAGATATGAATAAATAGATAGATAGATAGAAAGAAAGAAATTGAAAGAAAGAAATAGACCAAAAAAATATGAATAAATAGAGACAGATATGAACATATTGAGATAGATAGATAGATAGATAGATAGATAGATAGATAGATAGAAAGAAAGAAAGAAAGAAAGAAAGAGACCAAAACATATATGAATAAATAGAGACAGACAGATATGAACATATTGTGATAGATAGATAGAAAGAAACTAAGTAATAGACCAAAACAAATATGAAAATAGACAGACAGATATGGACATATTGAGAAAGAAAGAAAGAAAGAAAGAAAGAAAGAAGGAAAGAAATTTACCGATTTGGTAAAGAGATTCATGGAAGATTGAAGTTTAAATACAGTAAATTCGACCTTGCTAACCGAACGCTCATTCGTGGCCAAATCGGTAAAGGCAAGGCAAGCTAATGACGTTTCCGTACAGGATACGTGTTCGAATCCTGTCGGAGGACGAATATTTTCTGTGAAAATTTCTCGGACATTCAGGCCGGTAAATGTTGTTTAATAATCTTTATTATAAACAGAGTATTTACTTAAGTATTTGTATCTATAAAAAGAATGTTAAACATAAAAATGTCTTTATATATGAAATCTAATATATCATTGTGGCAATAGTCTTTACTGTCAATTCATTTATTGCTATTCGTTAATCACGGTACAAACAGAAAACCAGATTGATTAAAACGAATCTAAGATATTTACCCTGTTTGAAATTCTCTGAGGAATAGTTAGCATTTATTACAGCTGGATTAATTTCCACGTCTTTTTTGTCATTATTATCCCAACGTTTCGGACATTGAGGCGTCCTAGGTATAATGATAATCCGGCCACTAATCTCGAGGTATAGAGGAGCGTGGAACCAACTCTTAATTGCTGTTGTTCCCAGGTCCACTCTAACCCGGGGTTGTAATACCTGTTGGGGTTCCATCTGTGAGCAGGTGTTTGGCCTTCAAACTGGGGTCTGGGTCAAAATGGATGTTTACACTAGGAATTCCTATTTATTTTTTTCAAATTACCAGAATTATCCAATGCCATAGGTCGAAGGCCTGAATAAAAGTTGCGATCAATAATGCTTCAACTGATAAAAATGAATTAAGATATGAGGTTTGGCAATCATGATTTTCAATTTTGTTAATGGAGCTCCAGGGGTAAAAAAATGATTTTTGTTCCTTTCAATTACGATCGATCTTGCAATTTGCCCTTCACAGAAACAAACCCTGAACAAATCAAGTGAAGTTCCCACTTTTTGGCCTGTAACAGCCACCTCCCGAATTCTGGCGAAATTACTTCTTTAGTGCATCCTTGATATTTCATTTTATAATTTGATCGGTTCTATAGCCGGCCATCATGCGTCCGACACTTTACACTTCGACAAGTTTGAATAGGCGTTTTCTTTAGGATTCCTTCTCGCTTCATCGATTTAAGTGAATAAATATTTATTCTACAAGCGAATCCTTGAGATTGAGATGGAGAAGGGTGTACATCGAGAAGGAATGAAAGTGGGGGTATAAAATGAAGAGGGGATATCATAAGACGAAGTGGAAAAGATATATAACTACGCTTTCCGCCTCTTATAGCAGGGGTCTTTTTATGGCACTTTTACTCATACAACTCCCAAGAGTCATGGGGAGCAGGGGTATTGAGGGAGATGGTTATGTACCTGGGCAAGATAACGTTTAACTCTAGACTTAAACAGGCTAATGTTGGAGTGGTTTTCAGGCTGGAAGGAAAGAAAAAAACCCTGCGTGAGAATATGAGGAAGAGGTAATAAACATCCTTATCAGATGCATCGGCCAGAGACATTTTTTTATAGATTTCGGAACATTTTCTGGTTTCTGTTGAAAGTTTTATTATAAATTGTCTATTGCCCAACTTATATATATATATATAAAGAAATATAGTCTTAAGGTGTGCTATATTTATGGAATAAAGTGCCCAATATCAGAGATAGAGCGTATGTAAATATAAAAGTGAAAATAGAAGTCAACACTTAGAGGCAACAGTCTGTTTCATGCTATATGCAATCGTCAGGCCACATATGCTGTTATTTTTCTCGGCTATTTATATATATACGGGTTAGTGGTGCATTGTGGGTATTCTATTATGGCGGTTATTTTACCGGAAGTCGTTTGTTTATTTATTTGGGTCAAATTATATTGCTCGTTTTTATTTTTTTGTTTTTATTTTATTTATTTATTTATTAACGTAGTAAAAATTTGTTTATATCACTTATTTAAGAGTTTTGTTTTGGTTTGAGAATTTAATTAAAGCTATTTGTTCAATTTTGGGGTTAGTTGTTGTAGTTCATATATATATATATATATATATATATATATATATTCTCTCAGAGAACGAAAAGTATCGGCTAAGAGAAGTTTTCCCTTGGCCTTTCTTCATAATGTCCACCTGAAAATTTTACACACACACACACATACACACACACACATACACACACACACACACACACACACACACTGGGATAACGCTATATAGCTCAAGAACAGTTTTGAAATAAAAGACGTGTGGCAAAAGTTTATTTGCGACGCGTTTCATTCGTTAGGACTTCATCAGACAAAGGTTTGTTTGCATTGTTTCGAAAACATGCACACGAACGTGAAAATTTTCCTTTTTTGTTTTCACCATCTTTCTTATTAAATATCCCGCTTTGTGATAACACATCTGCCAAGAATGGCGGAACATTTTAAGTAACTGGATGCAAATTTACTGTGTCTGAACTCGAGATTAAAACACTTTCTAGGCATTTAGACGAACAAAATGAATAAAAAGACAAGAGGAAAAACCCTTCTTAACGATGTGTTTCGTCCACTGAGGGACATTATCAAGGCACTTGCATTGATACAGTCCCTCAGGAAGACGAAATACGTCATGTAAGAAAAGTTTTTCTTATATATATATATATATATATATATATATATAAATTTCCAAGAGGATAGAATCCAGGTAGAACTCAATATCCAGAACAGAGTAAGGATATAATAAAAAGGCTTAAACACTAATATTCCATGGTCATAATTATTCCATTGGAATCGTAAATACGATCCAATTCATCAGACCTACAAATTCAAAAAAGAAAAACGGAAAAATAACTCTGGGGATAAAAATAAAATTTAGTGAGAGAGGTATGTATGAGAGTGTGGGACGAATGTTAGAGTAAATGAAAGCTATAGAGAGGGGTAACAGACGAGAAAAAAAGAAGGCCCTAAAAGTGAAGGTGGGGGATTAAAATTTAACAGAGAGAGATTTTAAAGACATGTTTTATTTTATATACGCATATATATATATATATATATATATATATATATATATATATATATATATATATCTATATATATATATATATATATATATATATATATATTTTACACACATATATATATATATATATATATATATATATATATATACGCACACACAATACTCATATATATAGTGATTTTCCAAGCATAGCTTAGACGTGGCACATGGCCGAAAGTAGGGGGCACCCAGTGAGAATCGAAGTCACTACTCAGCCGTAATTGTTCTAGCAAGACACGCTTGCTAACCATTACGCCGCCTCGAGGTGCCCCACTCATATATGTATGTATGTATGTATGTATGTATGTATGTATGTAACAAAGTGGAAAATTGAATTGAAAGTGAATTAATTTCGAAATTGGTAACGATGCCCATATAACATCTCCTTTCCTTACAAAACTGCTACTCATAGAATATGGAATATTCAATAGCAATAACTTGGATACGGCCGGCCAGACATATATTTGGTGATTTGACGTTGAAAGATTGATCCCTTCGTGTATTAGACCACTTTCAGCCAAATGCAATCAACGGCATACAATATGGAAAAGGAAATCATCTTTCAACTTCTGACCGCATTAAGTGATTTACTCTACGTCGACCGATAAACACCCATTGTTTAATTAGTTCAGACGCTTTCATTCTTAATCCTGTTACAGATTATAATTAAATATTTGGCAAAGAAACTTTGATTTGTTTTGGTTTTTCACGGAAACTTTTACCTCTTATTTGATGTTGTAATTTACAAAACTTGCCTTAGTTTGGCACAAGGTAACATATTTAGTGCACCCAATGAGCACCGTGATAGCCTTGTTGTTTATTAAGTATTGTCTGTTTGGGTACAAGTCCAAAATCTTGGGTGCCTAGATATCTGATGTATTATGTACACCATTTACATTATCCAGACTATTGTCCTCATCTTTGTTGCCATATTTGTTTCGGCCTTTCAGTATCTGTTTTTATTTCTGAGAAGAGGTATTATGTACACTATTTACATTATTCGGACTATTGTCCACATCTTTATCCCCATATTTATCACAACGTTTCTGCCATTGTACGCTTCGGCCTTCTTCAGTATCTGTCTATATTTCTGAGATGAGGTATTATGTAGATTATTTACATTATTCGGACTATTGTCCACATCTTTGTCACCATATTTATTACAACGTTTCGGCCTTTCAGCATCTGTCTATATTTCTGAGATGAGGTATTATGTACACTATTTACATTATTTGGACTATTGTCCACATGTTTATCACCATATTTATCACAACGTTTCTGCCGTCGTACGCCCGGCCTTCTTCAGTAGCTGTTTATATTTCTGAGACGATGTATTATGTACACTATTTACATTATTCGGACTATTGCTCTCATCTTTGTTGCCATATTTATTACAGCGTTTCTGCCGTCGTACGCTGGCCTTCTTCAGTATCTGTTTATATTTCTGAGATGATGTATTATGTTCACTATTTATATTATTCGTACTATTGCCATCATCTTTGTTGCCATATTTATTACAATGTTTCTGCCGTTGTGCGCTTCGGCCTTCTTCAGTATCTGTTTATTTTTTTGAGCTGATGTATTATGTACACTATTTAGATTATTCGGACTATTGCCCTCATCTTTGTTGCCATATTTATCACAACGTTTCTGCCGTCGTACGCTGGCCTTCTTCAGTATCTTTTTATATTTCTGAGATGATGTATTATGTTCACTATTTATATTATTCGTACTATTGCCATCATCTTTGTCGCCATATTTATTACAACGTTTCGGCCATTGTACGCTCCGACCGTCTTTAGATGTTTGGAATGTCAAACTGAACCCTTTATTTCGCTCACTGGGGTAGACTGTTCTAGTTCCACATGACACAGTGGATAAAGGCGTTAGTTAGATCAAGTGACAGGACCCAAAGTGTGTGAGTTCAATACCTGGCTAAGGCGGTGAAGAACTTGGAGAGGGAAATTAACAGGAGGAAACTGATTACTGACATCCATTCAACATGG